ACCACTTAGCATAGCAGCAAAAGCTGGGACACAAAATAAAAGCAGGATGAGGTTTAAGGCTGATGAGGTCAGTCTTACAGTAAATACACAGGAAAGAGTATCCATTTAAAAGACTGTGAAAAGAAGAAAAAAATACGGGAAAGAACCAATGGTCTTTCCTCCCTACAACCATTAACCCCACAATTAGAAACCCCAAAGAAATACTACAAAGACTCTTAGGTGAGGGTGAGTAGCCTTTTTCTAGAAGTGAAACAGGTTAGTCTAAAACTGGAGCCCTGTCAAAACTTCAGTCAACAGCGGAGAGATGCCAGCTCCCCTGGTGCTCACAGTACCTTGGCATGATGCAGGTCAACACCATACATGGAAAGCCTCTTTGCATTTTCTAAGAACTGAGAATCAGCTTGTGCTGGAGATAAGCCCCTAAGAATCAAAAGAAACAAGGTTATCACATTGATGGACACAAAGCAAATGTGGCTAAAGTGGGGAAAGGCACTGTGATCTTGGAGAGCTGGGGTGGAGGGAGTGACCAGGCTAAACGTACAAAGAGGAAACAGGTAAGGCTCAACTCTCAACCTCCAGCATTCTTCTCTTAAAATCCTCCAATATAAACTGTTCATTGCAAGGAGGGTGCACCTCCATCCTCACCCTTTTTATCTTAGAAAGTTGCTTCCGATTTTTTTTCCACTAGGGATAAAAGCCCCAGCAATAATGGGTACAATATAAACTAACTAAAAAAGTAAAAGAATAAAAAGTGATGTCATCTTTCTGAAATAGACAACTTCTCTCCTTAATATTATTCCATTAGGATTGATGACACTAAAGATGGAAAGCACTTGTATTTGATTTTGTACCTGACATACTGCATTCTATCTGGACTAAAGTTATTTCCATCCTTATCTGTATTCCCAACTAAACAAATTTTAAGCTCCTAGAAAGCAGGGTCTCATTAATCTTCATATTCCCCATGGCATTTCAGAACCTGATATTTCAATTTCAAATTACATAATACATGTCTATTGAATAGAATTGGAATAAAGTTAATAAGAAAATATTTAAAGGCAAATACTGCATTTACCTTTTTTTTTTTAAGTAAACGTCAGTGAAGGTGATCTGTTTAAAGACTTCTAATCTCTGAAAGTTCCTTTCAGATCATTTTGGTCAAGGTTTTTTGAAAAGCAGTTTTGCAATAGGGGACAAATTAGAATTTTGTAGCTGGAGTTCTTAAAACTCGTACTTAAATTTTTTTTTATTTCTACAGAGATACAAAAGTTCTCAGAGTGTCATATAGTATATAAGTAATTAATCCTCAGTTAAAGTAAAAGTCATCTTCCGTGGATAGAGAAGTCACTTGCAGATTTCAGTTACTACTCTCACGTCCACTACCACTCACACTTCTGATTCAAATCCTGATGCCTCACTATCTCCCTGGCTTTTTAAAAATCAAATATGGTAATAAAAACAAAAGGCAGAAGAAATATATAGTAAATGTCAAACAAGTATCTGGGTATGTTTGTTTCAGGTGTGGGGGTGTGGATGTAAAGGGACTGGGCTGGGAGCAAGGCAAAGGAGACGTCATAGGGGAAAGGAAACTTTTCTAACAAATGAAAACATTTAGCCTCGTGAGCAGGCCCTCGTATTCTAGTCACAAAGACACGGGAAGGATATCTCAGCCTCCACCTGTCTTGATTAGCACTAGTGAAGCTCCACAAGGGCAAACTGAAAAGTTCCACAAACTATGTTCAAATGTCCAGCAAGTGTTCTAAGGGAAGCCATTCAAATCCACCGTGGCCACTCTCTCTCCAGTAAGCACGTCCACAGACCTGTGGGTTTTATGCAGCTCTGCCACCTTCTCCTCCAGCTCCTTCGTCTGGCTGGGGGCAAACTGGAAGTCACTGAGGTCATTACTGCCGTGCTCTTCTGGGTCATAGTCCCCAAGCTCAGCCTGCAGTATGTAAGATCCCAGGAGGGTATGAGTCACAAAAGAGCAGGGCAGGCGGCCAGAGGCAATGTCCTGCCGGAGCTGAAGGCACAAGAAGTATCTGTGAGGAACACGGGGAGAAAAGGGTTGGGTGAACAATTAGTTAAAATCACAGCACTCATAACCCTTGAATTCTATTATCCTTTGAAAACAAATATACAACATAGGCACTCTTCAAATCTATAGCAAAAAAAGTCTTCTGTAACAGGAAGCCCACCTTCCTCCTTGGACTCCCGACTTTTGTGGCTTATTTATACAAACTGCATCTAGAAAACAAAGCAATCGCATGGAAATTCTGAAATGCTATGCCAGCAACAGTGTATTATCACTATCACAATAAAGAGGTTTGCGACGGCAGGTGAAATTCCAATCACTTAGACTGTCTCCTTGGATTAAAACTGTCATCAAAATGTGCATGCCCCTCAAAAGCTGTAAAGACTGATAAAATTTTAAAAATTGCTGCAGTTCTTAGCATTTGTAAGAAAAGCTAGGATCACCTACCCTTTATCCTCTCTACCCTTTTCATACTCATTTCTTGTCCTGAGACATCTTTAACAGCAGTTATAAGTCAGTATCTACTTGGAAGCTCTTACTTGCCCATTGACTCCATCTAAAGAGGCAGCTAATTCAGCTTACAGTGGAAAAAACACAGGCCTCAAAGCCAGGCAGAGCTGACTGTGTGACCTCGAGCAAGCTAATTTAGTTGCCTAATTCCCCACATGTAAAATGGGAAGAACTCTAGTTCCCTTTGAAAGTGAGGGTAAAACATTAGATAATAAAAATAAAACACATGACATGGTACCTGGGAATCAATAACTAGTAGCTATAATCATAAGAATGTTGTCATTGTGAGTTATAACAACAACAATCATTCAATGTTTCAAGTGGGTTATTACAAAGGATCCTGGTTTTTACTAAATAGCATGCAGAAACATGTTACTTATATTCTCTGAGGGATTTTTTTGGAGGGAAGGTCCCACTATGAATTCTTTTTGGTAACATCTTAAACCTGATTTTCACTCTTGAATTTAACCACCTGCTAAGGTTACCATCAATCCCTCCAAACAGAATGGCAGTATCCCGATTCTTGATCTTTTAGAGACCATCATTCCTATTGGTTGCTGGCCACTTTCTTCTTGCGGACACTTTCGCCTGGCATGGATGCCACAGCCCCGTCTTCCTCCCTCCTCTGCCCCACACGTTCCAGTGGCTTGCTTCTGGCCCAGGCCTCGCTGTGTCTGTCAGACAGCACATCCCAGCACAGCGTACCACCCACCCCAGTTCAGTTATTCCTGTGCTACCACCCACATCTCCGTCAGGCAGGGCACGGACTCTGCATATCATCATCATCATAATCCCACAGTTAGCAAAGTACTTGCCACGTGGCAAGTCCTCAAGAATTTTCTGAGAACCAAAGTCGTCTGACTATGGCTGCAGTCGGAGCACTTTTCTGCACTGCTGGGGCTCGCTTTCCAAGGGGAATTATGGATTTCCTTGTCCCCTAGAGTAACATCAGCGTAACTGCCCTTATTTCAGAAAACTAAATTTTAACCTACAATTCCAGGTTCCTCTTCAAATCCTCTTAAGTCTAATCAAGAATAGATCTAGTTCTCCACATTTTATGGCACTATTAAGACCTAAACACAAAGATGCCCTCTATTAACTTAAATCTTATTGCTCCTTTTTATACCACTGTCTCTACTTCTCACGTTGATCCATTCTTCTGTTTCAAAGCCTAAGTCTAAGGCCCCAAAACTTCAAACAAAACCCGCAACAGCCTCCTGAGTTTCCCAACTCCATCTTCCTTGCTGAGCAGGACAGACCATCCTTCATACATTGTTCTGAACTGTGTCCCCACCCTCCCTCCACAAAAGCCTATCCCACCTTCTAAATGTTCACTCAGGTCATGTGAAGAGTTCAGTCGTGAGATCTAGACTGCAAGGCTACAGCCTGGTCTCGGGCTGCACCGCGAGACTCCTGGTGAGCTCACTAGACCATCTCATTCCTCCCTAAGCAGGCAGGAAGACTGGTCCAGACCCACTGAAAAAACCAAAGCACCAATGCTATAAAGTTGCAATCACCAAAGGATTATTATTCCCCAAAAAAGTGACTACAAGGAGGAATGTATGTACGGAGGGCGTTGAGTCACAAAGCCCCAGTTTCGTGCATTGTTCAAAGGCACTCCTATGGGGAGGCTCTGTACCCTACGCACACCAGCCTGGTAAGTCTCGTGCTCCACGCAGCTCACTGTGCAGTTACAGGAGTTGCTATTTATTATTTACTAGCTGAAGCCAAGTCAGTCACTAGCTGAAGCTAAGTCAATCACAACTTAATCCGTAAGTCCTTAACTCAGCAGTAACTAGCAAAGGGGGGCAAAAAAGGCCTGTCGTGTACCCAGTCTAGGAAAGAAAGCTCCATCATCCCTGTTCACATGGGCATCATACTCTCCTTTAAACACCTGCACAATTCCATGTCTGACAAAAGAATCAGCCTGGCAGGAAGCATCAGGGACACAGGAGCCACGGGAATCACAAGCAGTCTTTTCATTAAGACCCTCTAATTTTCTAAAAGCATATACATACAAAACACAGTTCTCCTTGGCCAGGTAAACAACCTTGTAAAACTACATACAAATCACCCTACAGTCCTAGTCTTACCGAAGCTAAGAAGTCCTATCATTGGTACCCAGCTTGACAAGGCTAAGATATCTAGGCACTTGTGGATACTAGATGTTTCCTTGGTTACCATTTCAAATACTCAAGTCACTCTCAGAATCAGTAAATTCGCTCTTGCTCCTAGATTAAATCTTTAATTTGCAGTTTAAGCATATGTCTGTATAGTCCAGATCATCTCAGAGGAAATGGAAATGAAACAGCTACTGACTCATACAAAAGGAAGCCGACCCTATTAGTTTTTCATCCTGGGCTGGGGGAGGAGGGATTATAGTTCAATAGACTTCTAAAAATAAAACTTTTAAAAAATTTTTTATTTTTCTACCTTTTTTAGCACCTTTGTAATACAAGATGAATACACAGGCACACATGAGTTACACAATAAAAATCATCTTCATATTAAAATCCGAAATATTAAATACTAGTGATTTTTCAAAGTATAACACAGGAAACAAAGCTGTAGCAATTTCTTTAAAAAATATTCTATTACTCAAATACAAATGGGAAATTAAAGAAAAGTGAACACAATTTTTAAAACTGGCAATATTCCAAACTATTTCGGAATAGCCACTTATAAGAAAACTTCTAAAACTCACCTTAAGAAAAAATGTTTTGTTTTTGTTTTGTTTATTTGTTTTAATCCTAAAATTACCACTGTCCCCAGAGGGAGTAGAAATAAATGAGAGCCATAATAAAGGATTATTTTTACTATAAAGTACCTGGTGATATCTTCAGTCAACTGAGAGGGATCAGGAGGATAAAACTTCACATTAAAAGCGAACAGCCAGGGAAGACCTATAATTATTAAAGATCAGGATTATTTCTCCAATCAACACAATGACCATTTATGCTGATAAAATGTAAAGGTCAATGTTCAAACAGCATGGATTACGCCCACTATAAATCAGTTAAGAGAATTTTGTTTTTTTAATTTAAAGAAAATATCATTTACAAAACAAAAACAAAATGAAAAATAAAATAAAAATCAATTACATAAAGAACCTACCATATTAAATAATAGGTTCACTTTTTTTATTAACATATATTGGTACCACAACCATATGGTACCGTTTATATGATAACCATATTATGCAGAAATGTTAATATAACCTTCATGTAATAGTTCTAAGATTTATTTTAACCACAGGATCTCTAGATGCCAAACATTCTCCACACTTAAAAAAAAAATTCATGATTTCAATGTTGTTGGGGGCAGGGGTAATGATCAAGTGGTCACTATAACTTTTCAGGAAATGATTAATGGTCTATTTGAAGGAAATCCCGAAGAAGGGACCGGGTGATAAAACATCACAATATGATAAAATTATTTCCCAGGCTTCATAAAGTATGTAAGCAGACTCATATATAACATGTACTTTGCTGTATTGTGCCACAAAGAATGAATATATGAAACAATCATGTCATAATGACTTATTAAAAGTTAAAGCACTGCTATTTACACATACTATTTACCTAATGTTTGCTACATCATGCTTTGAATGACTTAAAAAAAAACAAAAAACACAGCTCTGGAGGAAGGCAGTTATTTCCCTAAAGGGATTAAAATAATTCCAATGGCCTGAATTTAGAGTTATACTCAAAGTTCATGGTATTTCCAAATAAAAACAAAAAAGTGTATGTGTGTGATTTCATTTTATACGTGTTCGAAGGCCTCATGATTGCTTAATGTACAAACTTCAAAAATTTCTTGAATCCCATTCTCTTGCTCAATGGGCCATTTTCTTCTTTTCTCACCATAGACACACTAACTTTTCTCGCATTCAAAAGTCAATGAATATTTACTGAGTGGCTACTGTGAACACATAGCACTTTTGCTGGGTTTTGGCTCAATATATCATTATTCTACTAATAAAATTAATCCTGCCATATTCAAAAAACAGATTTCGGTTCCCTCTACACATTTAAAGCATCATAAAAAGACTTTCTTGAGTATTAAGAGACATTCCATTTCTTGGCCTGTAGCACCAGGCTGGCTGTGTTGCATATATACATCTTCAAGGTAATTAATCCACAATTAGGCAAAATCATCCCAGAATTAGCTTATCATTTCTTAATGGATCCTTATTTATTTGTTTTCTAACATGCTTGCTTAGATATGACAACAGGGATTAAGTTTCTAACAGAACACGTACTTCAGGATCTATTTCCAATTCTTAAGTTGATAAAATGTACCAATAATGCTAAACTTTTTATTTAATCATATATTATTATAATTTTTACCTCACTATATAAAATTATCTAGCTATGGGTTATTTATATATTAATACAGGCAAACCTTACATACAGTCTTATGTATCTGTACAGTCTTATTTGTGTACATTTGAGAAAATGAAGATTTTTTAAGGAAACTTTTACATAAGCACTGATAGATTGTGGGTTGTCAAAAGTAATTCAAAAAGATTATTTACCTTTGCCAGTTGCCTATTAGCTAAATAACAATATCATAGCAGAGGTTAGGCTAAGATAGAGTAGTTCTTTTGTCCACTTTAACACAGGTAGAAAGAAAGAAGTAAAAATACAAGAGCTACAACTTCACTGCCTTAGCCTACTTTCATGATCAGGACAGTACAGGATTCCATTCAGAGAACTAGCTAAACAATAGTTTGAAACAGTCAAATCCTGTGTCTTTCTGTTATGCGTCTTGCCAAAACACAAGGGCAAAAGTCCTGAAATTAACTCTTCAAAAAAAAAAAATTCACAAATAATCAAAACGTAAGACTGTGATGCACAATCAGCAAGAGCTTTGCCTTCCAAAAGTTTAGGCTAGCTCCACGACTCTGAGATGAGCAGCACACAAAAATAATCAAACAGAAGCCAAAACAAAACCACAGGAATCAAACTCCATGGAACATCATGTTTCAGAGGTTATCCTGTTCTGCCCATGGTTTGGGTCACCTGGCAGGTCTGGTTTCAGAGAAAGTGGAAGAACCAAGCATCCATACCTTTTTGTGAGGCGAACATGATAACCACTACACTATGGAAACCTCCCAACATCCATACCTTTTTGAATTCATGCACTTTGCAGAGCGCAGAACAACCGAAGAAGGGACTAGGAAAAGTTCCAAAGCTTTCTGGTAGTTTCTTCCACCATGTAAGCATAATGTGCCTGTGTCTAATTACTCCTTTTCTTTATTTTGCCCCTTTTCTATGATGAGCAAACACAAATAGATGAAACACCAAGATAATAAATGCAGGGGGAAGCGGGGAGGGAGGGGAGGAGGGAAGGATGGAAAGCCAGGGATAATAGTCAAAAGATGGGGTGACCAACCACCCTAGTCTGCCCAAGACTGTTCCAGTAACAGCACGAAAAGTCCCACACCCTGAGAAACAACTCAGCCCTGCGCAAACTGGAAATGTCACTCTAATCAAAGATACAAGAAAATGAAAAGAAAGACGAGTCTACAAGGAGAGGAAACGGCAAAAATAAGGCATTTTTGCCTCCCTGGACAGCCATGGGGCCCACTATCCAAAAAGCTGGTAAGAATTTTGTTTTCTCGTCTAAAAATCCCAGCTGTTCATGGCTTCCTACCTTTCCTGCTTCAGTCATTCACAGACTCTGAAGTAAATTAAGTACCCAGATCGCCTAGCAGAGATTTTTCTGTGGTGGTCATGACTCCTGGCATAGCTATCACAAAACCAGGCACAGGAGGGACCTGAAGCTGGCTAGAGTGGGACTCATAAGGTCACCTGGGGAGTCGACAGTGAGAATGAACCGGGAGATGGAAGAGAGGGTCAACCAGGACTAAGAACAAAGCCAGACGCAAAGAGCACACAAAGTGGCCAAAGGAGTCGAGACTGCAAACACTTCTGAGGGCTGAAAAGATAGTTCCGCTCTTTCTTCACTCCTGAACCCTGACTCCAGGACATCTAAGAACAGTGTGTCTATCTATGTGTCTCGGGGGCCAGAGATAAGGTGATGCGTTAAACTGATTATCCACTGCCAACGTCAGGTAGACAAAGCAACAGGAACAGGACTCCCCTGAGTAAATTTTACATAAAAAGAGAACGTTACAGCAGTTTCTCTTTCTTTTCTCCAGAGATAAAGGTCAGGGTTGCCTCTGTGACTGACACAGGCAGACATGGTGAGGGAATATTTAAGAATATGAGTCTAGAATCTCCTGATCAGTAAAGGAGTTCCTAAGCCATGTACAAAATAAACAGTCATGATTTTACAAAAATATTGTTAGTCTCCTTAACTTCCTATTTGATATAAATGCAAAACAGAGCTGATCATTCTACCACTATCTTATTCTAATTTACATTCCTATGAACTTTTTTAAAGATAGAAATGGATAGATCTAGAGGGAGGGTATAGCTCAGTGGTAGAGCACGAGCTTAGCACTCATAAGGTCCTGGGTTCAATCCCCAGTACCTTCATTAAAAAATAAAAAATGAAGAAAAAAAAAAAAGAAAAGAAAAGAAATAGATGTAAAGATTAACTTAATAATGTCAAAGTATGATGATTTAATACTCACTTCGCAGCTGTTTCTTTATTTCTTTTGCAGGATCTAGCCAGTTCTGCAGGGGGAGGAAAAAAGGTTAATTAACCCATAAGAAATAGTCCAGAATCCAAAATGGAACAGTTCATGGTTCACATACTTAAGTGTAAACATATTTTAATAAAGTTCTATGTGAAGTATCTTTCACCTACCAGCATTCCACTGGGCTGTTTTTGATCTGTTTCTTAGATGTAAAATAAAGCACCTACCCAAATGATGAGCTATAATATATCCACACAGTCTTTATTCTAGAACTGCCAGCAAACAGCCCCTGTGGACACTGACACGAGAGCTCAGTCAAGGACAATAATTGGCTCTTATTCATGAAGGATAAAATGTGAATTGGAAACTATTGGTTAAAAAAATATATATCCCCCCACCAAGCACAATGATCTCAGTTCCTAGAGCCAGCTTCTCCTTAAACTTTCTTTTTCCCTGCAACTGTACAATGCAACAGAGAAGCACTGTCAGACTGGAGCCAATGTCTTCCTTCCTGGTCTTCATGTAACATCCTTTTTAAACTTCATTCCAAGTTGAAAGTCACAATCATAAGGAACTCTCTTTCACTTTCCCTTTATTTCTAAACTTAGACAAAGTTTAAAAAAATTCTAGGAAATCACTATAATCTCTGAAAGCAAAAAAGACCAAATTTGAACTACTAGGTTCAAACCATCTGAAGACATTATGTATGTCTTTCAAAGCTACTGGCAAAAGATGCACCCAAAAACCATATATATATATATACATACACAAAACATATATATAATATGTATAATATTATATATATTATATATATATATATAATGTTTTTTGGGCTTTTTAATACTACTCCTACTTAATCCTCAAGTCATTATTAAAAGTTACCTTATCTTCACTAACAGGAGAACAAGTACATTTTTGAGACACATTAAACTGATTCAAATAACTGGCTTTACAGTAAATAAGTTTCATTCATTCTAAAAGTATCCCAAATAATGTATTATAACATCTGTGAGTGAACAGAATTTTATCCAGATATATAAAGCAAACAATTAAAATGTTTATTATTATGTAGAAAATTACAGCCCACTGTCTTAACGATATGTTGAACGAGCACAACAGAACATTAACTCACACTATCAAGAAGTAATAACAAGAAGATGCTTTGAAAGCAAAGCTGCACAGATCCCCATGGGTCTTACTATGCCATTCATGGCTTATACTCAGGGCAGCAAGGATCCAAGGTGTGCATGGCTCTGTTCTAACACTGGTTGTATTCAACCCTCTCCACAAAGAGCTACCAGAGCCTGGTCTAGTTTCCTAGCACTGGTGTCCCAGCTGCGTGGCCCACTGATGTGAAGGGCCAAGTGGGACCCTCTAACGGTACCTCCAGTGCATGTTAGGGAGCGGCTCTAATTCTCCCCTGAGAAGAGAGCCTGGCATTCAGCTGTCCTGCCCTGCAGCTGCTGTCCCACGCAACAGCTGGCTCACAAATGGCGGGCTATAATGAGGCACAAGAATGAGAAAAACACATCATTCAGTCTGCAGCCCAGACGGGGGGACGGCAGGGGGAGAGGGAAGGAGGACTTTCATCCAAGGAACTAACGACCACAGCAAGAAAAACTGAATCAGAGACAACTCGTGCTAAACTGAAAAGAAAAGGGAAAAACCCCTCAGAACATGAGCACAGACAAAGAAGAGATGGATGCTACCCATCATCCAGTTACACTGTGTGACAGTTGGCTGTTCTGCTATAGAACAGCCAAGGAAAGACCTCTCTGTTCTTGAAGATGGTGGAAGTAACACCATCTTCTGAGATCCCAAGGAAGAGCCCTGCGTCCCAGCTATTGGGCACCCTCTACTCTCACCTGAAGCACCAAACCCTTGTAAAAGCTGCCACACAGCACAGAATGTGAATCCAGCTCAACAGACCCGGGAGTGTGAGTGACCAGTTTCTGTGCACCTGCAGCCAAATTCAGACTCACTGACATTCCCTGGCCACTTTCCACAACACTGCCAGGCACAATATGAAGACGGAAGTGGCTTCTTTTCTTTATTTCAGTCCACATCCAAAGACCAAGTGCGCAGAATTTACCCGATGTAATCAAATAGCAGAGGAGACTCCCTCTGGCCACCTACCTGGTTGGCCCTTTGTTAACCATTCGCTGACCATGCTCCCTTCCACACTGTGAACTCCATTCCCACCAAGGAGTGAGAAAGTCTTTGCAAGGGCAGAAGAGACTGTATTCCTTGTATCCTTCATAGGACTTGGAGGTTTTAGGCAAATAGTTTAAGTACTAAATTAATACTTGTTGGCTGGTGTCTGCTCATTACTTGCCTCCTCCCTTGCCATGCCATGGTCATCTTAAAAGACCACACTTCATACTATTTTTCTTAGATTTATTTTTATTTAAGTAAGTAGCTCCAATGAGTTCTTAGATCATGAGTGGGATATAATTTTACAGCATAGGGTCATAAATTCATAAGTAGAAACCAAATGGAAAAAAAATTTTTAAAGAAATACAAGTCAAATACCTGCATTTTCAATTACAAATAAATGATAGAATCCTGCAAAACAACATTCAAAACAAAAAACAACAACAACAAAAAAAGAGAAACACTATTTCAAAAAGATACATGTACCACAATGTTCATAGCAGTAGTATTTGCAACTATCAAGATATGGAAGCAACTTAAGTGTCTATCAACATATGAACAGATAAAGAAAATGTGGGGTGCACACACATACACAACAGAATACTACTCAGCCACAGAAAAGAAATTTTGCCATTTGCAGCAACATGGATGAACCTGGAGGGCATTGTACTAAGTGAAAGGAATCAGACAGAAAAGACAAATACTGTATGATATCACTTATATGTGGAATCTAAAAAATACATCAAACTAGTGAATATAACAAAAAAGAAGCAAACTCACAGATACAGAGAACTAGCAGTTATCCGTGGGGAGTCGGAGGTACAAATTACTGGGTGCAAGGTAGGCTCAAGGATGCATTGTACAACACAGGGGAATATAGCCATTATTTTGTAATAACTGTAAATGGAAAGTAACCTTTAAAAATTGTATACAAATTTTTAGAAGTTAAAAAAATTGACATAAAACTCTTCAAACAGATAAATAATAAAAATAAATTTCTTGGTTTCTATACTTGAGTGCTGGGTGGATCAAGAAGCATATGCAAAAAAAGACGGAAAAAGACCTCAGAGAATGACGTGAATGCACACACACACAAACACCATGACAGATTATGGTGTACCATTCCCAGTTTTGAAAGATTTGGCAGCCCCATACATAGATTTCAGAATCAGAAATACATAGAGTCAAACTCTAGTCTTCCACCAGAGCTGTAACCTTGGGCTCATTCCCTCAACTGTAAAATGAGGATCACATCATCTACCTCGTGGGGTTGTTCTTTTCAACCATTCACTCAAATGCTTCCTGAAGAGTAAGCACACGTGCAAAGGACTTTATCCAGTGCCTTTAACATCAGAGGGGTGTTCGGCCTATCACCTTTCACTATATATCCCTTCTTCACCTAATTTTTTATTTCTGAAGGTGATGTGTTACATATATTAGAAATAAATATTTATATGATTATTTCTATCCACAAAAAGTTAATAAATCAGACTCTGGGTTTGAGAAATACAGTCACTGTATCATGGGCCAGACGGGATAAAAAGTCAGACCCCTTTTCCTTAGAGAAAACTGTCCAATTACGTCCATCAGCCCTTTCTACAAAGCAATCCTTCTGTAGTGAAGACTCTTCCAGGAAATGAAGACAAGACAAAAAAGGAACAATCCCTTCTCCTGAAAATAATTACCAGTATGACTAGTCCCAGTGGCTCCTACACACATGTTAAGGGGAGACCTAGCTAAGCTTTTCTAAACTTTGCCAGATGATAAGACTCTGTCTAGCAAATTTGTTAAAAAGACAGATTTACCCACTGCCCACCAGAAACATGCTGAAACATTTTTCAAGGAAGGGACCTAAGAATCTCTATTTTAAGCGACAACTTCAGGTTATTCAAGGATTTTCTCAATGTTTCCCAAACTTTAAGGTATAATTAATAAAGCAAAGTTAAAAAGAGCTACAATTAATGCTGGATTTCAATAAAATTTATCTTGGCTGAATAGCACTAAAAGTAAAGCACTTTGCCAGCTACTTAAGGGCAGGGACATTCATACACTCAATTTGGTACCTTTTCCTCTTCACCTTCCTATCCCCACTATGTACCCAAAGTACAAGCTCAGTAAAATATGTCTTCTGCATGAACATCCAGGTAAATAAGAAATTAACAAAAGTTACCAGGAATCCTATCACAGGTCTCCAACAAAATTAAAACTAAAATGTGGTCCTAGAAAGTCAGTGTTAGTAAATCATCTCAGAACATGAACTCAAGAGTCTATGAATCATCTGGGGTTGGGGGAAGTTAGATCTTCATCTTCACTAACCTCTAGCTGAAAGTTAGCATTGCCATCAATTATGAATGTAGGAGGAAACAAGCCTGGCTCGTATCAGCAGTACCTTGAGCTCTGCCACTCGCGGGAATCAAAACCATTTCCAGAGCACATTACAGTAGTTGCAGATCTTGAAACTTCATTAATGCGAATCAACATTTTGAAATCACAGTAGGGATTAGACACTGATGATGACCTCATCCCAATTTTTCGAATTAATATGTTGAACATGTTATTTATTGGCTCTCTTTGTAGGCCTGCATACTTTACTGTAACCATACATATAAAATACTGTTCTAAGAAGCAGCCCATAGAATTTACCAGACTGTTGAAGGAATCCATGGCACAAAAAAAGGTTAAAAAAAATACAAAACAAAAAAACAAAAACCTGCCTTGGAAGGTTAAGGAAATTTTTTTTAACTAAGCAACAAATAGCTGTACACATCTCTTTCTTTCACACTTAAGTCTTCCTGTCAGTTAATTAGAGAAGCTCCTTAATCCTACTCTGTCCACAACAGATCTGAGGGTGGAACAGTCTTTGTTAACGCCAAGTCTTCTCGT